AGAAAAATGTTTATCTTCATATCGTAATTTTTATTTTGTAAAAAAAACGTGCTAAGTATGTATAATGTTTGCCATTCAAATCACATAATTGGTCTTTGATAATTTTTGTGTGTTTTTGAGGCCATTCATTTCGTTGAATACATGCAAAACATTAGTGCTAATCTTAAAACTAATACTATAATACATAGTAGTTAGTAATGTGAAGAAAATATGTGAACAACAGCAATTGGGTTGATTCGCAGATATGGGACTGTGGCAAAGGTTTCTGCAAAAAGCTGAAAATCATACAAAATTCGGTTGGCGGTGGGGTGAAAGTTAAACGCGGGGCAGGCGCTACTATACAGAAATCTATACGTTTGTTGTCACTAACACTAAAATGCATATTTTCAAAATAAACTAACTCAATGTATGGATTTGGATAACGTAACTAATTTTCTAGCTACTAAACATATTTAAATTAAATGCTAAGTGATTTTTTTATATTTGTAAATAGTAAGCCCCCAGTTTTTGTTTCTAAGTACTTAAGTACCATTTATAAAATATTAAGTGCACGCTAAAAATTTAGTTACATCATTTTCGTACATAAATTTGCATAATAGTATGTATGTACAATGTGTAATTGTAAAACAAAACAATCATTTTGTACGTGAGCGAAATGATACTCAACACACTTATGATAATTTCTTTCATAAAATATTTTCGTTTATTTGGCGTGTGGTTATTTAGTTATTATTCCAGTATGCACATTCGTGCTTACTAATTAAAAATTTTATTTTAAGTATTAATAGCTTTTGTTTTTTTTCCTTTGTTTCTAGCAACTAAACAACAAACATACAACAAATATATCTGTTTGTATATACATACGTAAAGTATATTTAAAAAAATTTAACAAATCTAGATTATGAATGGAAACATTTATTTAATGAAATAAAGTTTTTTGTTCTTATGTTGTTTTTTTTTTGTTTTTGTTATAGGTTCTATACAGTAAAGTAAATAACATTTAATATACACTCTTTGTGACTATTTGCTTTTGTCTATATCTGTACGTATAATGCAATAATACATATTTAAGTACGTACAGATACAAATTGTATGTACATGTGTTGTTGTGGTAAATATAGAAATGTGTAAAATTTCTGACATTGTTACCCTCTGCCCCGTCTACATATTGCAATATTAAATAAATATATTGCAATTCAGACACAGTGTTCTACTTAAATTTTGTTTTT